CACACATGTATATGAACATACATACATACACATGCAGATAAAGATTGATATATGTATCAGATATAGACTGATAGATATATATCTATATATCTATATCTATATATCTATCAGTCTATATCTGCATGTGTATGTATGTATGTTCATATACATGTGTGTGCACATGCATATGTGTGGTTGTGTGGTTGTGTGTGCACACATGTATATGAACATACATACATACACATGTAGGTATAGACTGATAGCTAGCACTATATATCTATATCCCTATCTCTCTCTCTCTCTCTATAGATATAGATATATATATATGTATAGCTATCAGTCTATACCTGCATGTGTATGTATGTATATTCATATACATATACATGTGTGTGCACATATGTGTGTATATGTGGTTGTGTGTGCATATCATGCACATGAGGATATAGACATATGCACATACACACATATATACACACACAGCTGCACACATGCATACACACATACGTACACGTACATATATAAACTGATATGCACACACAACCACATATACACACATGCACATGAGGATATAGACATATGCACATACACACATATATACACACACAGCTGCACACATGCATACACACATACGTACACGTACATATATAAACTGATATGCACACACAACCACATATACACACATATGTGCACACACATGTATATGAATATACATACATACGCATACAGGTATAGACTGTATAGACAGGTATAGACTGTATAGACCTTACCTGCATGTGTATATATGTATGTTCATATACATGTGTGCACACACAACCACATATATGCGCATATGTATGTGCACACATGTATATGAACATACATACACATGCAGGTATAGACTGATGTGCACATACATATATATACACACATATGTATGCACACACACATATAAACATATACATATACACACATACGTGCGCACATGTGTATGTACACTTAAATATATACACACACCTACCTACACGATACATATGAACATACATACACAGGCACACAAACCTATGTACATGCACATACACATATGTGAATGTATGCATATGTACACACACACATACATGCATACTTATGTGTTCTGAAACAGCGTGATGTGACATGATATGAGATGTGACATGACATGATAGATGATGTCATCTTGTCTGCCGCCTCCAGGTCCATTCCCATGCGTATGGGAGACTACAGCCTCAGTAAAAATGAGGGGACAGAGCAGTGCATCACATCGGCCAAGGCCTTCCCCCACCCCAACTACAACAGCAATACTCATGACAGCGACATCATGCTCCTGAAGCTGGCCAACCCCATCCACATCACGGAGTATGTTGACTATGTCAACATCAGCACAGCATGCCCAGCTCTTGGCATCAGCTGTTTGGTGTCTGGCTGGGGCACCACCGACAGCCCCGAAGGTAAAGGATGTGGAAGGGGGTGGATGGATGGGTGAATGGCTGGACAAATTGAGAGTCCAGCAGAGGTCAACAAAAATGGTTCAGGGGCTGGGAAACATGACTTGTGAGGAGAGGCTGAGGGAACTGGGCTTCTTTAAATCTGCAGAAGCGAAGCCTGAGGCAGGGATTGAATAGCAGTCTTGGGTGGTTGCAAAGAGGATGGAGCTGGACTCTTAGTGGTGGTAGATGACAGAACAAGGAGCAATGGGCTCCAGTTGCAGCAAGGGAAGTTGAGGTTAGAAATTAGGAAAAACTTTCTCATGAGAAGGGTAGTAAAGCACTGGAACAGGTTACCCAGAGGGGTGGTGGGATCTCCATCCTTGGAGATTTTTAAGACTCAGCTAAACAAAGCCTTAGCTAGGATGATGTAGTTGAGGCTGGTTCTGCTTTAAGCAGGGGGTTGAACTAGATGTGACCTCCTGAGGTCACTTCCAGCCCTCATTTTATATGATTCTGTGATTCTGTGTGTAAGGGGATGGATGGATGGATAGATGGATGGATAACGGGGTGGATGGGTGGGTGAGTGTGTATGGACATGGACGGATGGTTATAGGGATGGGTAGGAGTGTATGGGGATAGATGGATAGTTGTGTATGGGGATGGATGGATGGAAATGTATGAGGATAGATGAATCAAGTCTGAAAATAGATGCATGAATTCATGGAAGGATGCATGGATGGATATGTGTGAAGATAAATCAATGAAGGAGCCTGAGGGTGCATGGATGGATGGATGGATATTTATGGGGATAGATAAATGAAGTAGTCTGAAGATGGATGGATGGATGGATGGATATGTGTAAAGAGAGATGAATGGAGGGAGGGATGAATGGCTGGGTGTGTATGAGGATAGATGAATGGAGGTGTGTGAAGGTGGCTGGATGTGCATAGACCAATGGCTGGAGGGAAGAATGGAGTGATATTCTTTGGGACATTGATTTAATTTTTGCAGCTGTATCAAACCTGATCCAAAGCTTGACACTTTGTGTGACTGGCAAATAGCTAGCTTTTTATAATTGTTATTTAATAATGTATCTGTCTCTCTGTCTCTGTCTGTCTCTCTCTCTCTCACACACACCCACACCCACACATACAAACAGAGTCTTTTCTACCCCAAAAGCTACTGAAATATTGCCAGGTTTTAAAACTCAGGCAAAATTTCTAACCTTGTCCACCCCCCCTCCCCAACTCCTTCCCTCAGACCCCCAAACAAGCCCCACATGATGAGATTTCCACATTCTAGCATGTTTTTCCAGATGTTGAAACCACAAGTTGATTGCATGATTGGCTTTTAATGTTTTTTATTTTTTCCTTTGGCACCATTCCCACATTCCAACACTCTGACCCGCTTAGGAAACCTGACATGGTTTCCACCCAGCAACCTTTCAACACCTTTCACTTTGAATGAAAGAAAGAAAGAGAGAGGGAGAGAGAGAGAGAAAGAAAGAAAGGGAGAAAGACATAAAAAAAGAAATGGGGAAGAAACAGAGGAAGCAAGCAAACCTTCTTTCCCCCCCTTTGTCCAACCCACCCTTAATGACCACAGTTGAAACCTTGGATGTCTATGGTGCTTAAATCCTTTGGGAATACCCCAAAAATGATTTTGCTCCCCCTAGTCTGAGCAGGGAAGCAGCGTCATTCATGCAGAAGGCTGGGTAGATTCACACCTTGTAGACCAATGGTTTTCCATCAAAAATATGGGAATACCCACCCTTACCATTCAAAGGGGCCCATGCTTCCATTTGCAATTTTTTAGGGGCCCATGAATGGAAAATGGTTGAAAACCACTGGTGTAGAACAACTAAATTGAAGATCATCTACAACCCTCTATTTGACTCATAGAAGTGATCATCCTTGACCGTGATGGATCGCTGATGAAAACAGATGTCCAAGCTTCTGTAATGGCATCTTACTTCATCAGACGCTATGAAGGGACTTCATGGTTTTTTGTTCCACAGTTTCCCATGCAAGTCAGTTTTTAAAGTGTGTTGTCTAAGAACAGGGGTGTAGGTTTTAGCCGTGTTGGTCTAAGAACAGCCACTCTGATGTCAGCCATGAGGTATCCATGGACTTGTGTGTCATTCTGGACTAGATGTCAGATGGGCATCCATTCATACTTTCATGGAGAGATCTGGTGTAGCTGGCAGAAGAGGACTGTGAGCAGGGGATGGTGGATATGGTACAGGTAGAGGAGCAGGTGAATGGGTCTGGGAGGTTATAATCCATGTTGTTTGGTCCAGTGAGGGTGTGATGTGTGTTGATGAAGGGACCCAGCTGATATGATGGTTTGGTGAACACCTGCATATAACAATAGATGAATGAATGGGTTGAACGTTTACAAAGACAGGTGGAGAGATGGATGATTACTTGAGGGGACAGATAGATGTGTATGAACATCCTTGAACACCTAGGAGGACCAATGGATGACTATGAAGATGAACGGGTAGACAAACAGATGAGATAGACCATCAGTGAATGAACATATGTGATGACAGATTGATAGAGAGGTGGACAGATGAATGGATATGAAAATGGAGTGAGGATAGATGGTGAACACATTGTGTAGAAATGAGAGAGAGAGATGGCCATGGTGGATCATAGGACACTGGGGCTGGAAGGGACCTCCCAAGGTCACATTGAATCCAGCGTCCTGCTCAAGGCAAGATCAGCCCTGACTCAACCATCTCATCCAAGTCAGCCCTTGAAAACTTCTGAGGATGGAGATTCCCCCACCTCTTTGGGCAGTCTGTTCTAATACTTGACCACCTTTAGAGTCAGGAAGTTCCTCCTCACCTCCAGCCTCAGTTTCCCTGCTGTAGCTTGAGACCAGTTCTCCAAGTCCTATCACCTACAGCCACAGAGAAAAGCCCGTCTATATCCTTTCTATAATCTATCTTCAGGGAATTGAAGACTGTGATCAAATCCCCCCACCCCAGTCTTCCCTTCTCCAGACTCAGTCACCCTAGCTCTTTCAACCTATCGTCAAGTCATCAGTCTTGTTTCCCAGGCTTCCAAACACTTCTGTCACTCTACCCTGGCCTCTTTCCAACATTGTCCACCTCCTTCTTGAAGTGCAGGGCCCAAAACTGGACACAGGACTCCAGGTGAGGCCTCCCCAGTGGTGAATTTAGTGGAAGAATCACTGCTCCCGATTTGCAAGTGACACTCATTTTAATCCAGCCCAGTTTGCTACTGGCTTTGTTTGCAACCAGAGTGCCCTGGTTGGCTTATATTCAAGATGGATGGTCACCTCCAGGTCCTTCTCTGCATTACTACCCTCCAACCAGTCACTCCCCAGTCAGGATTTGTGTCTGTAATTATTTTCTCCCAAGTGTTGGACTTTGCACTCGTCCTTTTTTAACCTTGTCCTTGTTGGATGGAAAGGCATCTTCTCACCTATCCTCTCTTCCTTCCAGCAAAGTACCCTGACATTTTGCAGTGTGGCACCGTCAAAGTCCTCAGTGATGGAGAATGCAAAAAAGCTTATCCTGGAAGCATTACCAAAAACATGCTGTGTGCTGGGGTGACTGAAGGAGGTGTGGACTCATGCCAGGTGAGAAAGGCTGGATCAGTGACCTGAAGCTTGTACAGAGCCAATGTGGGTTGAGGGCTAAGATGTGGGACATCTCATTATAGTAGCCAGCAGAAATGTCCATTGGAAGGAATTCTCTCGTGTATAATACTTGTTTCAGGGGTAATAAAGTCCCCCTGCAAATGCCCCCAAAATTGCATTCCATTTTCTTCCATTTGCTTCCATGTTCTTCCTGAATCTCACCATGACAACTCTAAATCTGAAGGAAGAATGAGGAAAAGGGGTTAGAAAGTCATATGGCCATAGAGAAGTTGGGTTGGAAGGAGCTCTGGAGGTCATAGAGTCATGGAGAAGTCATAAAGTCATAGTGCCTAGTCCACTGCCCCCCTGCTCCAACAGAGAGGGCCTTCTCCCTGAGATCCATCCTACTTGGCTACAACCTCAGTAGCTGGGGGGCTGGGGGGGAGGGGTGAGACAGCCATGTGTTGTACATGAGAGAGTATGTTATCTTGTAGGAGGCCAGACTGGATGACCTGTGGAGGGCCCTTCTAGCCTGATTTCTCTATGATTCTCTGCAGGGCGACTCTGGGGGTCCACTGGTGTGCAACGGGAAGCTGGAGGGTATCGTGTCCTGGGGAATGCAGGTTTGCGGACGGAAGGGCAAGCCGGGTGTCTACGCCAAAATCTGCAAGTTCACGGACTGGATTCTCAAAACTATAAAGGACAACTCACGTACCTGAGTCCTGGCAGCTGGCCCCATGAGAGATCCCCCTCCACACGTACCCCTTCTCCAGAGCCTGGAATAAACCCTGTGAAACACTCCCCACATCTCCAAATGTGGTGTCTCCTTTATGGCTCAGTGAAGACTGGATGATCCCAAGACTTGACCCAACATCCACCCAAGGGTCCAAGGACTTTATGTTTCCCCTTGTGCACCCAGGATGTAGCTTCTGTCTCTCCCCCATGGCCCTTCTTCCTTCATGTATAAATGGCTGCAAATATTGATACCCTTCTCCATGTTGTCCCCATCCCAACCCTGTGGGGAAACTGTCAGGACTGGGAAATGAACCAGCAACCTCTTGAATCTCAAGGTACACCCAGATGGTGGCAGGGTTGGTGGTGTCTCTGCAGCGGGCCATCAGAGAGTGACAGAGGGCCACGTGGAGTGGGCATGGCTCATCCTGTTTGTGGGTGTGGATGATGTCATGATGCCTTCATTGGCTCACTCCCGATTGGTCAGAAATATTTTTTTTTAAGTTTTCTTTCTTTTTCCTCAGTGAGTTTGGCTGAGGGGAAAGAGCAGAACAAGGGGACATTGTGTGTGACTGTGTGAGATAGATAGTGTGAATGCATGCATGTGTGTGTGACTGCACCCGTGTGTATGTGAGTGCATGAATGCACCTGTGAAAATATGTGAATGCACATGTGTGTGAGCCTGTGCACACATATGCACAAGTGTGCCCATATGATGGGGAAAGAGCATGTGCACATGCAGCTACATGTGTATACATGTGCATATATATGTGGGAGTGTACATGTATGTGTGAAAACAGGTGAACATCCACATGTGTGTATATGTGTGCTTATGTGAGTGCATGTATGTATGTATGTGAGAGTGTGTGCGCCTGTAAGAGCTTGTGAGCATGTGCATATTTGTGTGTGTGTGTGTGTACGTGAACTTGTGCCTGCATATGATGTGTATGTGTCTGAGTGAGTGTGTGTATGTGTGCATGTGAGTGCTTGTATGTATGTGTGTGTTTGTGAGAGCTTGTGAACATGTATGCCTTTGCGTGTGTGCGCAGGGAGCCAGAGCTGGGGATGGGCTCCACAGCACCTGCATAAAGGCCAGGGCCTCCCTGTTCGCCTCACGCCTGACCTGCAGCCCCCTGCTCCCCAGCAGCCCTCCTGGTGCTCCTCACTCCCATTCTCGCAGCCCTCTGCCCACCACAGCCCTCCTGGTGCCCGTCACTATGGATCTGCAGCCCCCTGCAGCCCTGCCGGTGCCCCTCACTCCTGATCCACAGCCACCTACTCCTGAGCCCCATTAGTGCCCCTCACTCCCAACCTGCTGCCTCTTGCTCCCCTACAGTGCTGCTGGTGTCCCTCACTCCCGACCTTCAGCACTCTGACCCCCACAACCTTGCTGGTGCCCCTCACTCCCAACCCGCAGACCCCAGCCCCTCTCTGACTGTGCTGGTGACCCCGTGCCTCTATGTGTGCGTGCCTTCTTCCCCCTCCTGGTGACAGCACCCTCTGGGCCAGCCTGTCTTTTCCATCCTCCCTCAAAGCTTTAAACTTTCCTGCTCCACCCAGATGATCTGGGATGGCAAAAGCCCAGAACCCCACTGGTGCCCTCACTCCCATCCTGCAGCCCTCTGCCTCCCCAAGCTCTGCCAGTGCCCTTCACTCCTGAGCCATAGCCCCCTAGCCCCATTCCAGCCCACCCAGTGCCCCTCACTCCTAAACTCTTGATGGAGAGGCTCTGTGGAGGGGGTGGCAAGTGTCCCCAGCTTCATGGGGGATCAATGCAGTAGGGGTCCCCCTTCCCCTCCACCCCCCAAAAAAGAACCTATTCCCCAGGTATCAGCTCTCACTAGGCTTCAAGGTCAATGCTGAACCCAGGGGCCTTCTTCCATCCATCCAGGTCTTCTTCAGAAGTTGGTACCTTCCCAGAGTCCCTTTGTTGGGGAGGAGAGCCTCAGAGGGGCTTTCTGTGGGAGCTGGGGTTGTGGGAAGCCACCTATTACTGGAACATCTGCTGGTAGAGCCAGATAAGTGTGGACAATGTTGTATAGAAGCAAGACGTTGGCTGTTATGGTCCCCCTGCTTTCCCTGTAGCTGGTTCAGGTGTTGGGCCCCTGTTGTGTCAGGGTTGACAGTTATCTTATGTAGAGTTTAGGTGATGGAGGGTCTAGGTTGGTTTGAATTGGGATAATCCTGCCTCAGGCAGTGGGTTGGACAGATGTAACCTCTCGAGGTCCCTTCCACCCCTGCTTCTCCATCACTCTATGACCATGACTCTATGGCCTTTGGATGTCTTTTGAGTCTGACTTCTCTATGATTCTATGATTATGAATTTGGACTGGATGGTTTAGATAGGGATGACTCTGCCTAAGGCTGGGCATTGGACTAGATGTGACCTCTGGAGATCCCTTCCAGGTTTACTTCTCTCTAAATTCTGTCTATGATTCTCTATGACAAAGGTCTCAGAAGATGGGTATGGGGAATGTAATAAAAAAGCAAACAAAATGTTAGGACTGTTAACAAGGGGACTATGAATACAAATGCTAGCATCCTTCCTGAAGCCAATGGCACCAGCATGGAGTTGGTGAGCTTATAAAATGAGGGTTGGAAGGGACCTCAGGAGGTCACATCTAGTCCAACCCCCTGCTCAAAGCAGGATGACCCCCAACTAGATCATTCTAGCCAAAGCTTTATCTAGCCAGGTCTTAAAAACCTTCTCAAGTGCCAAAGTCTCTTAACACTACATTGTGTGCAGACATCCTATTCTCCACTCCCCAAACAAGTGCTCTACTCTCCAGTTACAGCTTGAGCTCTCACTGTGGCCAGAGAAAATGTGACCAAGGCGTGTTGAAGGCAGAACTCAAGACAACAGATGACAATATCAAGAGCTGGGAAGAACTAGCTGTCAAAACTTTCCAATGGCACCACGATCTCAACTCGTTCAGCCCATTTCAAGGTAGAGAAACAGAGAAGACAGAACAGAGGGAGGGAGGGAGAGGAGAGAAATCCTAGCCTACAACATACTTTCCGCTATAGAAAGGCCTACAACTCCTGCAGATGGGTGTGTTGCTGAAGGATTGGGCTCTGACGTCACTTCATAGTTTCATAGTTGGTAGGGTCGGGAGGGACCTGAGCAGATCATCAAGTCCGACCCCCTGCCATGGCAGAAAAGAGTACTGGGGTCAAACGACCCCGGAGAGGTGTTCATCCAGCCTCCTCTTAAAGACCCCCAGGGTAGGAGCCAGCACCACTTCTCTTGGAAGTTGGTTCCAGATCCTAGCCGCCCTGACAGTGAAGTAGCGCCTCCTGATATCTAGTCTGAAACTACCCTCTGCCAGCTTGTGACCGTTGTTTCTTGTAACTCCCGGGAGTGCTCAGGGGAACAGGGACTCCCCCAATGCCTGCTGGTCCCCTCTGACTAGTTTGTAACAGGCCACTAGATCCCCACTTAGCCTTCTCTTGTGGAGGCTGAACAGATTCAGGTCCCGTAGCCTCTCCTCGCAGGGCCTGCCCTGCTGACCCCTGATCATGCGAGTGGCCCTCCTCTGGACCCTCTCAATGCTGTCCACATCCCTCCTGAAGTGCAGCGCCCAGAACTGGACGCAGTACTCCACCTGCGGCCTGACCAATGTTGCATAGAGGGGGAAGATCACCTCCTTGGACCTGCTCGAGATGCATCTGTGGATGCACGACAAGGTACGGTTAGCCTTCCTGACCGCGTCCCCACTCTGTCAGCCCATGTTCATTTTGGCATCAATAATGACTCCAAGATCCGTTTCTGCCTCTGCACTGACGAGAAGGGAGTTCCCCAGCCTGTAGGTAT